TATATATATATATTAATATTACATATACATGTATATGTAAATGTATAATATGTACTTCTTCATGATTTTAATTTTATATTCGAAGGGCCTTATTTCGGACGAGGATGAAGAACACCTTTTAAGTCCTGCAGAACAGCGAGCACTTAAAGCAGAGAAACGTGCTGCTTGGCGACAAGCGCGTCTTAAATCTCTCGAGCAGGTAAAGTTGAAAGATTCTATACATTTATAAGTATTGATAATAATATAATGTTGTAATAAAATAGATCTATCTGAAATAAAATAATGTTTCTTTTGTATAGGATGCACTCCAAGCACAGATGGTTATCAGAAAGATGAGTGAAATAATGGATACTGCTAATAAAGAAGAAGATACGCATGATATGACTGTTGCAACTGGATCTATTCCTGATCAAGAGAAAGCAGTCGAGGTATAATTTTGGAAGTAGTATCTCAGGACGAAGTTAATTATATAATTTAACATATATAACAAGACCTGCAAGCTTGATTATTTCAAAGTTATGTGTTTAACCCTATTATTTACTAATCGCTGTCTTGCTCGCCTAAACTAACACACAGCATTCATGAAGGAAAAATTATGTTATTACAACGGTTCCCATTTGTCTGTCTTTTACTATCTTAGTTTACTACATTACGGCCGTCTAGCGCAGATTTTCCTAAGCTCGCTGTGCGCAGTAAAGTGGGTCCTCCTAAAGAGATACGCGAATCTGAGAAAATAGTGGACGAGAAGGTCACTCGGCGTACCGAGGAATATCTTGACGAAGTGACGGGCGAACGTCGTGTACGAACTGTCGAATACGTCGAGAAGCTCATTGAGCGTCAGGTATTATGCTTGTAAAATTTGGCACGAGCGTTTAAATATCACATTTATTGTATAAATGAAGGGATTAAAAAGCACAATAAATTATCACTGTTGCAACTATATCTCTGGAGTGCACCGTATTTATTCCGATTCTTTTTTTTTATTCTTTTATTAATTTATTTTATTTACGGATATAAATGGATACATTCCATGCCAGATCGCATATGTTTTGGGAAACTTGCGAGCTTATGAGACATTAACATTTTGTTTGACAACTGAAAGTTTAAAAACTGTTGTCGATAACATTAATTAAGTAAAATGTTAGGGAGTAAATTACAAAAAGACAATGCTGAAAATCTAAAAGGCACCTAAACATAAGGCAATATTAATTAAATTCAACATATCTTACACGCGTGTACGCTATAAAACTATTTTACGAAAAAATGTTACAAAATTAAGAAATAAGTGTTTTTATTTGTGTTTTTATTTATATGTATCTATGGGCGCGATCCACTTAATGCTACAAATGCTTCGAAGCGTTTTTTAATTGGTTAATTAGTAAAATTCTTTCTTCCGATTGGTCAATCAAATGCTTCGAAGCATTTGTAGCGTCAAGTGGACTGTAGCCTATATAACATCTGTGTACTGTGTTTGTTCAATTATTATTGTGTTATTGTTATTTCAAGATTCCGTCACTTACATCGATGGTACATTATGCACCATCTTGAACTATGAATGTTACTTCTACTGATCTCACTAACAACTTTTTCCTACTCATTGGTAATTTGGTTTTTATATATCTTATGTATACATTTTAAGCTTATGGCTTTATATCTGTATGTAGTATACGCATGACTTATTTTGTTTATACGTTTCTATGCTCGAGATGTTTTTTGTTGCATGTACCGACGTAGAATTATGCTAAAGGAAGTATCAGAAGTCAGGAAACATAGGACAATTAACATATTTTTTCTATCAAAATTGGAATTTTATAAAGCCTTTGAACAACAAAAATAAACAGTGATGCTGATGTACATACATCTACAAACAAATATGATAGAAATTGATATGTCATTTGATCTATGTAATCTCAAATCTTAATATTAAATTATCAATTTATACATTATACAGATATCACAAGATTTATTAGATTGTCTTACAAACTATAAAAATGTTTTAATTGAATCGTTTGCAACATATACTTTATAAATCCAAAAATCCAGAGATTTGTGCACGATTAACTACGATTGAAATTTATGATTTATACATTTTAATTAGGTGGAAACTTTGAGGGAGAAGATTATATCATTGGAATTAAGTAATGCAGAAGAGGATGTGGAAAGCATAACCGGCACTGGTGCAAGCGATGCTGAAAGTGAAAGTGAAGATACCACGGGACAAAATATGACCGTTAGTACCGTAAAAGAAAAAACAGATTCTCATCTTACGATTGACACATCTGAAATTGCAAATGAAATGTCTAAAACAAATGCAAATATTACTGCTGCATCTGCAAAAAAGAAAAAACGTAAACGATCAAAAAAAGGTCGTCACTGACAAAATATTTCAATGCGTATCTTAACAAGCGATAGGGTAGGTACGTTAATATTAAAGACTTGGATAAAATTGATGAAATTTTTATTATTCCAATATTTTACTACTGCACAAATTCAATGTGTAACATCGTTTTATGTGAATATGCATACATTTATGTTATATAGATAAATTATACATATACGCACTTATATGTAGATTTCAATTGGTTCTTTTTAGTTTTCAATGCATCAGTATATACGATTGTCATATAACATATTTTTATTTCATCTTTCTTTTTCTTCACACAAATGTAACGGGTAATATGAATATATAAAAATGGCGATCTGTGGCTCTAAATAAACGTATTGTATTCAATGAAAAAATATAGTAGGTATTTATACAAATACTTCGTGATTGATTCAGTGAATACAATACATCCATTATCTGTGTAGAGGTATAACTACTATTTTTATTATATTTTGTGTATTATAAGACATGTATTACAATTTCGTAAATCTAATGTGTTAAAAATTGGTAAATTTGCGTATTTTGATATTAAACATTGTATTACTGCATTTTTGTATGTTATCATCGATACATTCATAAATTTCGCTTGAAATTTTTTAACTCATCGAATATAAATTAATTAAATTTAAAAAAGAAAGAGATTATAAAGATAAAAAGATAATCAAGTAATATCTCAGTGACAGAATAATTCTCGGAAATCTATAACATTTATGCTATTTTTATTATTTTTTGAATATATTTTTAGCACATTCTAATTTTATTTCAAATATATGGATATATTTTAATATAATCCGTTTTTATCTTTTGATCGTGTGTAATAATTATATATATATACGCAATGGTTATATATATATATATATATATAATGTACAAAAAAATGATGTCAGCAGTATTATTTTAATTGAAAATAGTTTTTATTAATTCAATAACAGCTAGTGTCAATGAACAAAGTAATTAAGACAAGAGCATGACGTATTTGTATTATTAATAATGTTATGTATTAACAAAATTATTTTCAAATGTTATTTGTATTCATTGAAACAATGAAACAAGTTTTAAAATTATTCTTTCTATAACTTCTCTAACTTTGCTGATATCGTATAAAGTTATCAATAATTAACTATTGCTGAAATAATGTTTAAATTGTAGACTTTAGATTGGCCAATTGCTTACCTTATGTGTGTTTATAGAATATTTTATTTATTTGATATGATTTTAATATATAATTTTTACGAAGATATTTTGATTTATAATAGAAGAATGTAGGAAAAACAAATTTATATTATTTGAGTCAAATAAGAAAATATCAAATTTCGATTTCCTTTAATGTAAATTAATCGTATTGAGGAGCTACCTAAAAATTGGGCAAAATAGATGTAGATTATTATATACAATTTAATAATTTGAGTATATAATTACAATGAAGTTTACATCTATTTCTATATATATTTAATACTTTGAATATATTTTTATTGCATATACGTTAGACTGTGAAAAATTTAAGACATCACACTTTTATATAATTTATCATCTATAATGTATTCGTAATATTAATATTGTCTTTAAGAATATTATTTTATACCGAATATTTTTTTACATTTGTTAATCAAAAAATATGCGGTTAAAAAAATATATTTATTTGATAGATATACATAATATGAATATACATGGAATTTTTTCCAACGAGTGTAAATAAGTAAAATTAAATAAAATTGCGAATTTCTGCTGTTTAAAGTGCGATTAAGAATGAGGGACCAATGAATGAAATTAAACGAGTTCGTTCATTATATAGGCAAGGCACTTAAAATATACTGTATTATTGATAATGTTCAGATGTTAGAATGTTAAATTCTATTCTTCTTTAGAACACTAATTAGTGTATTATGTATTAATATATATAAGCGAGTAAAGAAAAAACTATTTCACTAAATTAATCTATCTAATTGAGACATTTTTATCTTTAATTATCCGACACATGTCGAGACTATTTATTAATGCATCGTAATTTTTAAAATCACTTAATTATATCATTGTTGTAGAAATATTATTAAAAGTGCCAATGTTAGTACTTTTTCATATAAGAATATATCATGTATTTCGTTAAAATATCTAATTATCACACAAATTTATTATATAGTTACTTATTTCGCTGTCTTTCAATTTTATTTCAGCAACGTAATGTATTATTATCATATAAATTGTACAACATAGATCCAATACTAATCTATACGAGTTATTTTTTACTTGTATAGCAAGATACAATTCTTGCCTATCAAAGTTTAATAATGCGTTTAAATATGGATATTAAATATATTTTGGTTTTTTTAATATTACAAAATATCATTAAATTATTTATTAATTATATTAACTATGCATCTTAATGAAATCATCTTATGCTTTTATTTCTTTATTACTATATCTATCTTATAGATTTAAAAAAACTGAAGGGGAATATAAAGAATGCCGAATATCTCATAAGCATATGAAACATAAAATAGATTAATAGACAAATCATAATTAATAAAAAAAATTAATTATACATAAATCTTAAATTTTCTTTTATAAATCTGTCTTTCAAATTCCTTATTATTTATAAATTGGAAAAATATTCTTTTCTCTCATGAATAGCATGATAGTATGCTCGAAAACAAAAGATTTTATGTAATTACTGTTACATTGTAAGTGTATATTTTATATTTTTTCCTATGACTTTATCATTGTAAAAATTTACAAATTTGAGTGGTAACAAGCAATAATGTATCTTTTAAGATATTTTACCAAGAGTTTAAGATTTTAAAATATAAAATGGTTATGTAAAAATAAAAATAAATTGTGCACCTATTTGTAATAAATAGTTGATATTTTATTCATAGGATGTGCATTTATTGAGATCTCGTGTATCTTCATTCCTGTTTAATAGTTATACTATGTTACGTTAAAGTTTATTAATTATCATCAACTGCACAAAAGAACTACACATACGTAATTCTCTGGATAATATATATTGTAAACACCATAAATTATTTTTAATGAAAATTTTATGTGCAGTTACTTTTTTGATGCTATTATACCTTCCAATTGAGTCTGAAAAAAAAATGATAATTGATCATATATATAATACAATCATATCACTGATTTATGTGGTAAAAATGTTTTACAATATGAATAATACAGTTTAATGATTTAGTAAATTTATATAGAATAACCAAATCAGAAATACATTTTGCAAAGCATGTTTTGCAATTATATTAATTCATTTTATGCACTTAAAAATATTTATATTTTTGTAACTCTCCATCTATATTTATGTAATTAATCTCTTCTAAACAATTAGATAAGAGACGATAATTAAAATATGAAAAAAATCTAAATACAAATATTTTGAAATGCTTAAAATACAGATATATATACAGAGCTACATAAATACAAATATCTAAGATATTGCAATATCTGAACATCTATAACGTAAATGCTCCCGTACTATCTCAAAATCGAGTAAATATTTTTACCTTTAATTGCATATTTGTTTTTTTAAGGAATTGCACTTCCTCCATATGTTTTTTTTCCTCCGCTTCCCTTAATTCAGCCGATCTTTTCTCAGATTGATCATACTTGAGTCGTAATTCCGCAACTGTTCTCTCCAGTTCAATTTTTTGTAATTTCAATTCCTCGGCTGTATTAATCAAATTTTCTTTGCCTTGCTCGGCCTGTAAAAATGACATCTTTTATCAACAATTGTATGGTAATAAATTTTATAGACTGCAATAGTAAAAGATATTCTGCACATATATTCTGTCATATATAAACGCGAAAAAATGTGTATATTAGAAAGATAGGTACTTGCAGTGCTTTACGCATCCCGAAAGCGATACTACTTTGATACAATGTCTGATATGCAGCTAATGTCATTTTGATTTCGTCCCGTACTCGCAATAAAAGTAATCCACGTTCGGCGCAGTTCACAGTTACTTGTCGTATTAATTCATCTGAGAAACATGTAATAATATACGATTATATTTACTCAACCATATTTCAATTCAGATGTAAAGCTTATACATGAACATAAATATATGCATGTATATACCGAAACATTGTGTATAGAGCTGCCTACGAACAGGACAAATACCAGTTTCTCTGGCCTGTCTTTGTTGCAATCGCATATCAAGTTGCTCTTGTAAATTTATCACATCTAGTCTCGTTGCAGGAGTACTCGATACCTAAATAATATATATCATACATTTGTCGACTATTGCACGTTGCACAATTAAAAATGTAGCTTTAAGAATGTATTTAATTTTACACGCTGAGTCCATATCTGGTCATCCTCCTCCCATTCTTTCGGCGGTAAAATTCTATTTAAAATTTCGATGGTTTCTCGTCGTGCATCAGCTGGAGCTGTTTGAATTTTGCAAGCAGTTATACCAATTTTCGCTGGTTCCTTACGTACCTATTGTTTAATTAAAAAATATTTATAGAAATCAGTACTTTAAATAGTCTAGCTGAATCTTAAATGCTTGAATGATTCTGTATGAATTTATATATTACACATGTAGTCCTTTAAAAGCCGAAAATGATTTTTCAGTCTTGAACCACTAACTATATTAAACTACCGCAGTAATATTACGAGTTAAATTGACTAACAATTTAACAATTTGATACTTTTTTGCATCTTTGAATGATCTTAATAATGCTGAGTGACATATTAAAATCTATAAATAATTAATTCTTATTGCAAAAAATATTATCTCGGCCAGAAGTCGAACCCGGATCTCTTGCTTTCCAGTTGAGCGTCCTAAGCCTTTAGACCACTGAGGATTTAATATGTCACTCAGCATTATTAAGATCAAATTGTTAAATTGCTAGTCAATTTAACTCGTGATATTACTGCAGTACTTTAAAAGAGTTAACGTTTCAAGATCAAAAAATCATTTTCGGCACGCATTTCAAAGGACTACATATATGTAGTATATAAATTCACACAGAATCATTCAAGCATTTAAGATCCAGCTAGACCGTTTAAGGCAGAGCTGGGATTTAGTTGCACATTTCGGCTGATTTTCAGTTTGGTTCCTGCTTCTTATTTCACCAATCCTGCGTAGCCTAAGATACCAATCGGCATTTAGATTGTGCACGGGTTGGTGAAGTAAGGGGCAGGAACCAAGCTGAAAATCGACCGAATGTTTAAGGTATTGATTTCCATAGTTTGTATTATCACACACATATACTGTCCTATAATATATTATATTGTAAAAAATATTTAGTGAATAAAAGTAAGCAGATATTATGTATTTATTGCTCCATATTTGCATATATACATGCAGAATTATTTTTTTAAAAAAATCGTAATTTATGTAAAAACATAAAATGGTAATAAAAATGTATCGCACCTTCTCTGGATGAGTCGTAATCGAAACTGGAGTATCATACTTGACCAGTGTGTCCATAGCAGGAATTGTACGTTCTTTGATCGCTGTCGCCATTTACTTAAATAGAGGATTTACGTACAACGTGACTATGAAGCGCTATTGTATTATTACACGTTTATGAATATTATTTATCGCGAGCTACACGAGTATATAAGCGATATATTCCATTCATGAAGTTGGTAGCTGAAAAAAAACGTCGTCATGGAAACATTGATGCACCGTACCATCGCTCACAGCTCACAACCAATTTTTACCTTTACTTTACCGCCTAAAACGCCGGTCGTTCGATGGCTCGATCCGTTTCATTTTATACCAAGAACAAGCTTAGTGCGAGCACAAAGTAAGAGCCGGTTTCAATATTCAATTTTTAATGAAAATGATATATAAAGTGTATTTACCTCCAAGTTAAATATTCTGCGACAGTTATGATAGGTGTGTATCCTGTCTTTCATTTACATAATTGCGAAAAATGGAATGAATATAGAAATGTACACGAAGGTTTTTTATAAATAATGGTTTAATATTAGCAATTTATCATTTAAAATAAAATTTTGTGTGTGTGTGTGTGTCAAATTTATAATTGATTACTTTTAAAAAAATATCTATACAAGTATTTGCATATACGTAAAAATTTAAGTCATCCAAGGTTTAGAGCTGCAATGCGTGAGATGTTATTATACAATGTTATTAGTATTTTTCTAGTTATAGTACTTTATACTAGATGTGATTATTATACAATGGTATATCTAAATCATAAATCTCTTATATTTTGTTATTATTATTATGATTATTGTTACAAACATTTTAAAGATAAAGGATATTACATATAATTTTACATACATGCAATTAATAATTAAATAACTGCATTTAATTGTAAAAAAAAATGATCGCTCAATTCATTTGTACTCAAATCGTCCATATCATCATTGCTTTCATCGAAAATGTCTTGAACAGTGCCTGTTACAGTTTCCGTACCATCCATCACACTTCCTACACAAAACGTTGTATGCTCCGTATGATTATTTGTATTGACTTCCACATCATTTTTCATATGCTGAGTATCATTCTCTTCGTCTGTATTTAAATAAATCGTTTCCTGAATTTTGTTGTTACTTTTACTGATATCTGAAATACCGTTATTCGGGAGGGCTTGCAAAACCGATAACGTTGGAAGCGGAAATCCATAGTTTAACAACTTTTTGTATCCATTCGTACCACAAATTTCTTTAATGTCCACTGCCATTGTTAAAATTTTTTCGGAATAATTTTCCTTCGTACAGTCTACCATTATGTCGTAAAATTCACTCGTACTTCCATCCAAGAGTTTTCTCCTTCTCATAAAAGTTTGCATATTTAACATTTTTCTTCTATATGTATTTGTATTTTTCTCTGCCCGCTCGAGGTATTTCGAAGCCTTGTCCAATTTCCAATTGAGTTCTTTTATTTGTTTATCTCTTTGCTTAATTTGATTTTCTAGCTGTCTCTTTTGTTGACTTTCAATAGTTACAGTTTTCATTAACTTTTTATTCATCTCTTCAAAATTACTCATTCTGTGCGATAAATCATAAATCAGCTTTTGTCTACTATCCAATTTTTTACAGCTTGTTGAAGATGATGTGCCATCCGTACTTTTATTCAATTCATTCATCTGTTTTTCCATTTTTTTTGTTCTTGCTTTGAGCATTAAATTTTTATTTTGCCATTTTTTCTCCAAGTCCTTGAGCAAAATAAGTTGATTAGTTAATTGCCCGATGATAGTCTCTTGCAGTTTCACTTTTTGTTGTAATTTCTCATATTCACATTTATTAGCATTATCCATCGTTGGTTGTTCGATAATGCTATTAATCATGGCATTATTCACTTCTGGATCTTTCTCTTCATCCATATTCAATGACGGTAATCTTGTAGTTAGACATTCATCATTTTGTAAACTTGACAAAGCATCTGACATTTGATCGTTGTTTCTTGATGCAATACTTGTAATACATGGCGAAAAAATATCATTGCATTTATTTATAGAAGTTGTTTCTAATGGATAATCATTTATGGTAATGATAGAAGTAACAGACGCATTATTTTTTTGCTGTAAACAAGTATTATTGTGCTCTTGAATAGTAAAATCTTGTGTATCTTTAAATAAATCTTGCATAATATCAACTACATCCTCACGATCGCCTGTAACTTTGACTGTGAATTTTGTTGTATCTGATACAGCACTGTCTTTATTATATTCCATAGTTTCGGATATATTCAGTTCCTTTGTTAATTCATTTTCTACTTCTACATCCAGTATTACTGTAGAAGTATCACTGTTAAGCATAGAATTTGTATCCTCAAAAGATGTATCTTGAACTGATGTTTTTATAGATTTCACTATTTCCTCTCGAGTTGCTTCTTCACAGTTTACAGCAGTCCTCGTGTTTGACGCAACATATAAATTTTCTCTGTTGGTAGTATTTTCTATACATTCAGTTTCAGTGAGTTCTTTATCATTAGTAATACTATCGATATTTGTGGTATGTTGATTCTGTTTATCATTCTCATTAGTTCCATTGTTAGAAAATGTATACCTAGGAACGCGAACAAATTCTTCACTGCTTTCACTACCAAAGATGATCTCGATGTTGTCTCTATTGTCGGTAAGCATATCTCCAATTTCATTCCTTGACGAATATTTATAATTTATACTTTTATGAAACAATGGCTGCGTTATCGAGTCTTCTAAACTTCCTTTCCAATTCTTAGGAATTGAATTTAGTTCTTCTACATTAGATGTACTCATTTCTTCACGACCATCACAAATTTGCTTTAATTTCTCCTCTATCTCATCATAATCATCATTAAAGATGTCATTATCTTGTTTTGTTTCTGTTTTTAAATCTTCACTCTGGTTATCAGTTGAATTTGTCTTTGCTATAAAATTACTAATAGATATTTTATTCTCTGTACTTGCTTGCTTTTCAGTATCATTTTCTTTAATATCACACTCTATCTCCATACTATCATCTGAAATTATAATACTTTTTTGTTGAAGATTGTTCGTAATATCTATATAATGTCCATGAGATGCTTGTTGTTTATTTTCTATCATTTTTGGAAAATAATTTACTTGCTGATGTACAAGCGATTGTATAGACGATTTATCAATATCCTGTAAATCAGAATCTTTTTCTTCCAAGTGACTGGACGAATGGTCAGAATCATTTTCTAAAAATTCCACCATGTAATAGTCTTCGTTCTTCATATTAGCTAACTTGATGCGCTTCTTGGCAGATTTCCTGGTTGACGTTACGGTAAAAATAGATGGAACAGCATTCTTTTTTAGTCTGAGCTTACCACTTTGGGTAATAACCCATTCCTGAGGTTCAAAATGTACGTGACAGAGAAAGGAATTGTTAGATGGTTCCCAATCGGCCCTAGCAACACGGTCCTGCCAAACTTGTCTCAATATTGGATCCCGAGGAAAACATTTCATAATAAATCCTTTTTCACTACGATTGTTACAACCAATAGCTGCGCAACCTGGCATTTTTCGTCAATCAAATAAGAATAACCTGCAAATTTGGAATAACATCAAAATTATAGCATAACAGTACAGAAAAGAAACAGCAATAATAATTATACTTCAAGAAACGGCAAAAAAAGTACATGTTAAATGTATATTATACTTCCTCTCATCTTTTGCTCTATGTAAAATGTTAAAACAGATTTCATTGTAAAAACGAAGGAAAGTATAATTGAAATGAACAGACTTAATTGTATACATTTTGACAAATTTATGAATTTTATGAACTCTACATGTTATATCGTCTGACGATATTTAAAAAGAATTTAGAATTCTGTCTTCTTACCTCGATCTCTTCTTTTACACCGTTAATTTTATTTCCCTTTCAAAGCAAGCACATATATCATGTAATACACATATATTTCTCAAAAGGTAACGACATCGCCCGTAAACATTATTAAAATCGTGAAGAAATTTTTCAATTTGGACGCGCAAATAATGTGTATATTGTGAAGCTTTATCACGAAGTACCTAATGTTTGGTTGGAATTCTACGTGTCGCGTACTGGTCGCGTATGTGCATACATACGCCGCAACATGGCTGCGCCATTACTTCGTAGTCCGTAATTATTTTGTAACCAATAAGATTTTGGGTGCGGTTTATTTCAGTTTATTTAATGTTGCCAAATAATTGATATGTATGTAAACGTTAATTATGTATTTCTTCCGTGAGTTGACAAGTTTTGATCAATACCTTACTCTCACACTTTTGTCAAGTTGAAATAATATTATTAAATAGGTATGTTAGAATAAGAAAGAGAAGATATCTATTGACCTAATCTTCTCAAATAGGTTAAGTTATTTGCATACAAATTTATGTGGTAAACACCTGAGATATATTGTAGCAGAAAGATAACACGATGAATAAAAATACTCGTGGAACAACGCCAGGTGATGGCTTACGATCATTGCGGAGTACTACATTATTCCGTGCCGTTAATTTCGAGTTATACGTTAAGCCGGTAAGATTACATAAACTGATAAAACATGTTGAAATTGATATTGTCTAATATTGTCATTAATAAAATGTCATTTGCAGAACAAAACCATCATGATTCTTGGTATCATAGCAATGTTAAGTTGTTCTGGATATATATTTTATATGAATACTAATGAAAAGAAGAACGATTATCATATTATGGTTAAATCAGACGAAACAGTGGAATTAGTGAAAAAAGTGTCCAAGTGGACTGATTAAGTAAGAAATCCTGATGAATAATATGAAACATTACATTACTTTGTATAATCAAATAATTTATTTCATTACATTAATATTTGTTACAAGGTATTAGTTTATTTAGTAACATTTAGTATTAGATAAATAAAGCATTAAATATTTTTCAACAAGAAAATTAATTTATTTCTACATTTGAGAAATGCATTTATGCGTCTAAAGATACATACATAACTTTTCTAAGATACAACTATATACATTAATCTGTAATTGTTATAAATCTGCAGCAATCATATATAGTCACTGTACAATGAAATTTTTTATCAGTAAAATTATATTATAAATAAAAATAAAAATTTATCGAAATAAATATTCTATATATAATATAATTTTATTGTAAAAGTAAAATATATATAGTTACATTGTTATCTATATTTTATGTGTGTACCATATAAAGATTTTACAGGTTAATGTCTCTCTTTCTAAAAAAAACCCCCCCCCCCCCCCCCCCCCCCCCCCCTCCTCATCTGTCTCTCTATCATGGCTGCGTTCCACTTACACTCGCAATGCTCGCGAGCATTGTTTGTCCTTGTTCAACATTTGATAAATGACAAAGATGAAATGCTTCTATGAGGTTTGTGAGCGTTAAGTGGAACACAGCCTATATATATATATATTACACAGTTACTATATGTATATATAATTTTATACAATTTTTTATTCTTTTACAAAATATCAACGTTTATAGTTTTACATAAATTTTACAATTTTACTGCAAATTGGTATAGTTGGCAGTATATTTGATTTTTTTTACTTATATTTATTTATTTTCCATGATTATTAAGATTGAATTAGTCTTAATTTCTGAACAAAATAGTTACCACAAAAATATAATATATATAAATTCACATTAACTATTTTATCGTACATATGTTTGATATATGTGTGTAATATTTCTTATATGTTGCTCTTACTATTCAATTTACATTTATCAATATATTTGTGTTTTGATAAAAGTTTAATAAGATACATATAATACATATAATTCTAATGTGTATTTGCGTGTACACACTCTTCTCTACAAGGAAGCCCATTGTGTGTTGGAGAATCAATAGATATCGCTAAACGTAGTTAATTTTATGTTCTATAATATCAACAAATTGCGATATCTATAATCTAACTTTCCTTCTTGTTTCTTGCAAATATCTATCATGTGTAGTACCACTAACATTACTGTTATGAAGAAAATATCTTCAAGTCTAAATATAAAATCAAATCTAATAAATTCTTTTATCACACATAGCTAATACAATTATTAAATTAGATCAAAACTATTATCATTTTAACACAAAAAATATTCTTATAGCTTTTCTCGATAATAGACATATATTTTTCTACACAAGCTATCTCTATATCTTTATCCCATAGTTTAAATGAAATCACTATGAAATTATATAGTAGATTATATATAAATTATAAAACTTCTGTTAAAATCTTCAATATCAAACGAGTTATGGTAATTATTTAGTATAGGGGACTATCCCCCAATGACCTTGACAACATATGTCAAGGTCAAGGTCATGGAGGATAATCCCCTATAGTAAATAATTAATCGAGTTGTATTTACTTTTCCAGTTATTACTTTGGAGCAGGATTTTTTAACCGGTGTGATGCAAAGGATTTCAAAGTATGCCGAGAAAATTTTAGAAAAGGTAAGAACAAGACGAAAAAATTTAGAAATTAGTAAAGCTAGTGAGGTACGAAATAAAAAAATATTTAAAAATTATAAAAATTACTTTAAATTATGTCGTGTTTTTTTTTTTCGTTTTAGTTAAAGTAATATTGTCATTATAATAAAATCACTTTTTAAACAATAATAAAATTAAAAAATAAGAAATTTAGAATTTTACCTTTCATTGAATGTTGTGCTGGCGATATTTGACAAAGAAGCTATGCTAGCCATTGAATTGTATACACCTAAAGCCTTGCACACAATAGAGGAAATATTAGAAATAGGAATAAGATTTCAACCTATCAGAAACCGCGAAGATTTCTCATTAAGGTTAAAATCTTAATATTTATTTCTATTCCTAATATTCCCTCCATTGTACACAGGATCTAATGTATGTATACGTACTTCGACAAATTTGACTCAATATTTAATAAGCTGCGAATTAAAAAAGGTTGAAATACGTTGCTTTAGAGCATTCAACAATTTTCCTAAACTATCTATCTATCTATATATCTATATATAATTTTTACTTTTAACAATATAAACTACATGTATATCTACAAAATTCTTCATTTAACAATATGACAATTAATACACATAGAAAATTTGGCATCATTGTAATACTTTGCAGCATTTTGTACCTTATCCTGCAAAATTTCATATAGTAAAGAAAAAATGAAGACGAAAGACAATTTATCACAGAAATGATATATATAAAATAATTTAATCTCAAAGTAGGATAAAGACAAAATGCATGACTTCGTATAACAAATTTCAGTATTAGTAGAAAATAATCATTTCTTTGATTACTAATTGGAAATTGAATTTTGCCATACAAAATATATATAATATACATATAAAATATTGCCATATTTTTTATGTTGAGGCTTGATTATTAATTATTAATTTGTATTTGTAATATTCTATTTTAACACATACAGTCGTTTTGTGCTTCTGACAACAGCTTTATCGTTTCATTAATCGCATTTGCCACATAATCCAAATTATTTTCATTGAGCCCGCACATATTTATACGTCCACTACGTAACATATAAATATGATAATGATCTCTCAGATGCTGGACTTGTTTCTCTAAAAGAAAATCGGAAGAAAACATTTTTTCATAACTAGTTTTATCAAAATACTATATTGTAAAACCGAAAATATAATTTTTACAACTAACCTGTGAGTCCTGTATATGAGAACATTCCAATTTGTTGAATAATATGATCCCAAGTACCTGGAGTACCTAGTTTGAGCAATCTATGATGCAAACCTACCCTCATTTGTTTAATTCTACTGGACATTGTTTTAATATGATCCTTCCTAAATATTGAAACGCATTATTAAAGTAAATAATAAAGAATATGATTATTTTTTATAGATTTTTACAAATCAATACCATTCCTCAAAGAACTCTGGATTTTTCAACACAGTTGCAACAATTCGAGCACCATGATTAGGAGGATTGCTATACATTCCTCGGATAATTAATGTTAATTGTGATCTAGCTTGAATCATCTCCTTTGTATCGGCCAACACAAAAACTATGTTACCAACTCTTTCGTTGTATAATCCAAAATTTTTCGCAAAACTTTGTGTGCAAATAAATTCGATTCCACGTTCGGCAAACATTCGTACAGCATACGCATCTTTATCTAAATCACCACTTGCAAAACCCTGTTAAGAATCAATGTATAATCAGATTTATCAGAATGACTATAAAAAGATCATGTTATTTATTCTTATCATTCATTCGCTTAGATATTAACTTAGATACTGACCTGATATGCACTGTCAAATAATGGAAAAAGGTGTTTTTCTTGTATTACATCAGCTATTTTAGTCCATTGCTCTGGAGTTGGATCACATCCAGTTGGATTATGTGCACATGAGTGCAGAATAATTACAGCATTTTCTGGAGCATCTCGTAAATCCCGGAGCATTCCTTCTAAATCGATATTACGAGTCTTTTCATTCCAGTATGTGTATTCACGAGCGTTTTTAAACCCTCCATTAGTAAATACCAGCCTGTGATTTTCTGTCAGTACATATAATTTTACAAATATATGAAATTTTTCACCGGTAGATAAAATAAGAGAAAGAGAGAAGAGAATAATATATTATTTTTTAAAATTTACTTACCCCAGGAAGGTTTACTGTAGTAAAAGGTATCGTAATATAGAATACGATTCAAAAATTCAGCGGCAACACGTAATGCTCCAGTACCGGAAAGCGACTGAATACCAAAAGCACGCCCTTGGGCAATAACAGGAGAATTTGCACCTAATAACATACTTGTAGCAGCTTCGCTAAATGCTTCTAAGCCAAGAACTGGTAAATATTCATGATTTTGTAAATCATCTGCTGCAAGTGACTTTTCTACCTTTTTTACAACTGGTAGAACCCATGGTTTACCTTCATTAGTGCGGTAAGCTGAAAAAGATTTCTATATTTCTTAATAATTCATTATAAATAGATATAATATAAAATTAATTAAATATATTAAACTACAAAAAGAAATATGAATTCAAACATGTAAATAATTTTAAGAAATGTTCTTGTGCAAATTAAGAAACAATTTTTTTATGTATATATTTACTTTTAATATTAATACTTGTATTACAAATATATAAAAAAATTAATTTGTAAGATTTAAGGTCTGGCATTTAATAACTTTTGTATATTACATAGACTTATTTATTTTTATATATTATTTCCTTAAAATAATCAAGTTATGAAGTATATATATATATAAGCGCGTGCGCACGCACGTGTATGTGTGTGCATGTATAGATATGTGTTTATGGATGAATGAGGAATATTATGTAATCACTCTGGAAGTCACTCAAGGGTACAAAGAGTATGAAAATCAAAAGTAACTCTTATACATCTCATACTTCATATTATTAAAATATGTATATTTAATAGTAAAAATGTGCTAACTTTTTGAAAATTAAGCTTATTAAAAGCAAGCATCACACACTGTAAAACTATATGTGTGTGTGCATAAAATAAAATAAAATAAATATTTTTCCATTGTTGCCTTACAGACAACAATGGGAAAATAAAGTGGTCTTGAATGTAATAGTTGTAAGAAATAAAATAGTTCCATACCTCCTATAGTAAGATTAACTTTCTTTTCGTAAGTATCGTCGACGAATGCCTTTTGCAGTGCAAAAACTTCGATAGGAGGTCCCAGTTCTATTCCCGTAAATCTGGTCATCATGTTGTAAATGCGAGCAAACGATAGCTAACAAGTAATAATATAAAGAATAAAGTCAAATTAAGAATTGGTGCGAAATGAAGAAAAAGTTCACAATTACAACGTGAATAGAAATATGCTGGAGTATGTGAAGAGAGCGATGTTGAAATGAAGTCGCGCGAAGATTGGCAACCTGCGAACTTGCCAAGTGATTTTTAATCTGGTGT